GTTCAATGAGAAAATGGGTCAAATTCTACAGGATCAAACCTATGGGACTTAAGGAATGATATAAAAAAAAAGAGAGGGAAAAATATTAAATAAAAATGAAGTAGAAGAACCCAGATTCCAAATGAACAAATTCAAACTTGAAAAGGATCTTTCTGATTCTCGAAGAGTGAGGGGCAAAGGGATTGATCGAGAAAGATCTCTTGTTCTTATTATAGGATCGTGATTGGATCCTCATATGTTTGGTAAAGAGAATAATCTTTTCTTTTGAAAATAATCAAAAATGGAGAGTGTTCAATTGGAACATGAAAACGTGACAAAATGGTCCTAGTTACTCTTCGGGACAGAGTGGAAGAAGGGAGGGGATTCTCGAATGCAGAAAAGGATCCAATGAATTTGAAAGAATTGAATGAGGACCTGTATGAGGTGAAAATCTGATGTACGGTTCTGTAGAGTGGCAGTAAGGGTGACTTAGCTATCAACTTTTCCACTATCATCCCAAAAAAACCAAACTCTGCCTTACGTAAAGTTACCAGAGTATGATTAACCTCTGGATTTGAAATCACTGTTTATATACCAGATATTGGCCATAATTTACAAGAACATTCTTCAATCTTAGAAAGAGGGGGAAGGATTAAAGATTTACATAGTGTGAGATATCTGATTGTTCGAGGAACCCTAGATGCTGTCGAAGTAAAGGACCGTCAACAAGGGCGTTCTAGTGCGTTGTAGATTCTTATCCAAGACTTGTATCATTTGATGATGCCATGTGAATTGCTAGAAACATGTGAAGTGTATGGCTATGTGATTGAATAAAATCAAATAGAAAGCCCCAAGGCCGCCATATTCTAGAAGCTCAAACTATGTGATTGAATAAATCCTCCTCTATCTGTTGCAGGTCAAGGGCTCCTTCTCTCTCCCCTTCTTCAAACTCCGATTCGTATTTTTCATAGAGAAATCTCGGATCAAAGATAGAACAAAATCTATTTTGCATTATATCTAAGGGATTCCTTGGTTCGAGCCGAAGAAGCAATGTCACTCGATCATTATCAAACTAACTGCAATCTGTTTCTATCTATGAATATCCCACCAAAGCACCTTTTCCTTCTAATAGGCCATGAACTAGATCAGAATCATTCTCAATGAGTCCATAAGAAGTGATCTTATTTTTTCCATTGGATCCAGGTAGAGACCAAAGATCTTGAGCGATCTATCCGGCAGAACAACTCAAAAGATAAAGAAGTATCGTTAATTTCTTCATGCTCATTCTAATTTCAAAGTACCATTTATACATATACGAATCCCCTTCATTACATGATCTCTTCTTCATATAGATAGATATAGGATCTATGGGCCAATTACTTAGAAGCACATTTTGTGCTACAACCCTTCCTATCTAATAGAAAAGGATCCCATGACCCTGAACCGATCTTACCTGGGATCGCAAATCCCAAGCTTGTCTATGAAGAGTGGATCTAATTGTATTAGTGTCTATAATTGCTTTCTTCAGTCTAATTGATAGGGCCTAATTGGTAAGTACTACAAGATCTTGTGCATCGGAACCCTTGGTTATAGACCCGAATCCATTAGTATGGAACATTTTCTTTTCCAAGTGAAATCCCCTAGTATATGAAAGAGTGAAAAAGTGTTTTTGCTATTGTGGAATAAGAAGCCTTCGTATCTTAATGCATGTATTTAATTTATTCGGAGCTATTAGAGCGGGATCCACTTTTTGTGGAATATGAGTCTAACCAATAACAAAAATATTTCTAGTGGTTCACTAATAGACCGAGGGATAAGTAATTCGACTCATTCACATCTAGATCATGAATGTTTGGAATCCATATTATGCAAGGAAACATTACTTTTGCTAATTCGAATTGAAAGGTGATATAAAATTGGTCTATTTCCTACATCATATCCATAGTTAGCGCGTTCATCATATTTAGCAGTTCTAGCTTCGTATAAAGGGCACAATCGATATCGTCACTAGCATCAATATTGTCACTATCATCAATATCATCACTATCATCAATAAGAAAACCTTTAGGCTTGTTATCTAGGAACTTGTTCAGAAATACCGTAATGAAAGGAACATAGAAGTTTGTCGCTAGGTATTTGACCAAAGAGGATCGTCCAGTTCCTATAGAACCTATCACCAAAATCCCCCTAGAGGGGGGTGAGGCTAAGTAAAGCAAAAAGGGTTTTCCATGAGATGGGATATGAAAAGTATTAGTCCCACACGAAATTTGTGAATAAGTGATTGTCTGATAATGAGTAAGGAATACTTGTCTTTCTGCTAAACAGGATGTATTGAACTCATAATTCAATAGATACTTTTTATGAATGTCAGTTAAGTATCGTAAGCAAATTGCTCCCGTTTGTTCAATCGTTTGATAACTAGAATCATTCTTTTATAAATAATCACTATGAGTCAGACTCAATAGAATTTGATCAATCCCTTTTTTTTGTCGTTAAGGCAGAGAACTAAACCAAGAATTCT